TGAGAGGACCCCTCTTGCCTACAACACCCTTTTGCTCCAGCACCAAACAATCTGCCCTTAAATGAATCACTGGGAATTAGGCTGGGCAACTCTGCTGCTAATTCTAAAGAATTTTGGATTTGGAATTTATTTATATTGGAAGCTTCCCAGGACCTCTGATATGCATTGATATGATTTGGATATTTGTCCCACCCAAATCTCATGTTGAAATGTAATCCCTAGTATTGGAGACTGGGCCTGGCGGGAGGTGTTTGGGTCATGGGGGCAGATCCCTTATGGCTTCAGGCTTGGTGTTGTCTTTGTGATAGTGAGTGAGTTTGTGTGAGATCTGGTTGTTTTACAATGTGTGACAAGCCCCCGCAACCCCCACTCTCCCTTCTGTTCTCATTTTCACCCTCTGAGATGCCAGATCCTCCTTTTGCCCTCCACCATGATTGCAAGCTTCCTGAGGCCTCCCCAGAAGACAAGTAGATGCTGGCGCCATGCTTCCTGGACAGCCTGCAGAACTGTGAGCCAATTAAACCTCTTTTTTTTTTTTTTTTTTTTTGAGAAGGAGTCTCGCTCTGTTGCCCAGGCTGGAGTGCAGTGGCCGGATCTCAGCTCACTGCAAGCTCTGCCTCCTGGGTTTATGCCATTCTCTTGCCTCAGCCTCCCGAGGTAGCTGGGACTACAGGTGCCCACTACCTCACCCGGCTAGTTTTTTTGTATATTTTAGTAGAGATGGGGTTTCACCGTGTTAGCCAGGATGGTCTCGATCTCCTGACCTCGTAATCCACCCGTCTTGGCCTCCCAAAGTGCTGGGATTACAGGCTTGAGCCACCACGCCCGGCCCTCTTTTCTTTATAAATTACCCAGTCTCATGTTTTTTTTTTTTTTTTTTTTTTTTTTTTTTTTTTTTTGAGACAGGGTCTTACTTCGTCACCCAGGCTGGAGTGCAGTGGCTCACTGCTGCCAGGGTCCAAGTGATTCTCATGCTTCAGACTCCCGAGGAGCTGGAATTACAGGCAGGTGCCACCATGCCTGGCTAATGTTTTGTATTTTAGTAGATATGGGATCTCGCCATGTTGCCTAGGTTGGTTTTGAACTCTTGGACTCAAGCAATCCACCCACCTTGGCCTCCCAAAGTGCTGATTATTACAGACATGAGGCACCTCACACGGCCTCAGGTATTTCTTTGTAGTAATGCAAGAACTGCCTACTACAGGCATTTTGTAATATTGGATCCACATACAGATAGGAAACCTGAGACTCTGTGGTGGTCAAACAGTCTGCAGTTTCCACAGTGTCATTACAAACTTTGATCTGGCTGACACCAAGGATCTGTGACACAGCTCCACTGAGGACTCTGACAGCTGCTTTGCTGAAAATGTTTGTGGCTCTGGACCAGGCTCAGAATCAGCACAACCTCATCTGTCATTTGTAGTGTAAGACGGGTCTGAGCCTCAGACACAGGACTTGTTGCTTAAATTCCTGAGACCTCAGCTGTGCTTTCTTGTCCCACACCTTCCCACATGCCAACCCTGGGGATATGCTTGACTCTGTTTCAGTCCCCTCTGGCTGCTGAGCAGAACTACCTCTATACTTTGTCCTCAAGCAGCAAAGTCCCACACTCAGGCTTTTGGGGAAGATGTCAATGATGACAATAGCAGGTGAAGCCCAAAGATAGCATTTTGACAAGGAGGTGATATTGGGATAGGATTATTTTTCTTATGAAACATGTGAGGGCCCCAGTGGCCATCAGGTCTCCTGATAAGTTAGAACAGAGGAAAGGAGTCACAAGTGTAAGTCTTCCTCCCTCTTTAGTGAGAATCTACAGTAGGTGCTTGTAATCCCAGCTGAGGCAGGAGGATTGCTTGAACCCAGGAGGCAGAGGTTGCAGTGAGCCAAGATCTCGCCACTGCATTCCAGCGTGGGTGACAGAGCAAGACTCTGTCTCAAAGAAAAAAAAAAAAGGAAAAGATGAGCTGTAATATCTTGCTGTGCCAGAAAGTAAGGAATTGCTTAAGGATTGAGGGGGACATGACAAAAGGACTCAGAATCCAGTCATTAGATGATAATTTGAGCACCAAAGTAAGTAATGTTATAATGGATTATAACCCATTGAACACAACTGATTTCATGATTCCATAATGATATAAATAAATACATGAATACATTAAAAACTTGATGAGGAATATATAGTTATGTAGTATCAAAGAATCTACCCACAAAGTATTTCTTTTCTTTTCTTTTTTTTTGAGATGAAATCTCGCTCTTGTCGCCCAGGCTGGAGTGCAATGGTGCGATCTTGGCTCACTGTAACCTCCACCTCCCGGGTTCAAGCGATTCTCCTGCCTCAGCCTCCCATATTTCTTAATTACAAATGCAGGAAGAATGACATTATGGTAGAGGACACAACCAGATACCATAATCAAAAATCAAAGTAAACATCACCCATAATGGAACAGATTGAAATTATTTGTCACTAGATATGATGCAATGAGAAGTCAAAGCATCTTCTGTGATATTCCTGCCAAAGTTGCATAGCCAGAATCTGATTATGAAGAAACCTCAGATAATCCCAAATTGAGAGAAATTTAAAAAACTCCCAACCTATGCTTTTCAAAAGTGACAAGGTCAAGGAGGTTGAGGAAAGACTGAAGAACTGTGTCAGGCTGTGGTTGACTAAGGAGACGTGAAAACTAGTTGCAAAATGTGATTCAGGATTCTAAACTGGATTCCAAAATGAATATAATGAATATCATTGGGATTTATTGAGGAAACACTAATGGAAATGAGGATTAGATGGCCCTAATGCATCAATGTTAATTTCCTGAATTTGAAAGTTATATTTTGGTATATAGTCAAATTGCCTTGCTTATGAGAACTGTATAATAAAATATTTCAGGTTTGGAACTTCAGGTCCAAAATTACTCTCAAATGTTCAAAATAGAGAAAATTATCTGTTTGTACCTCCAACTTTTTATTACATTTATAGTTATTAAAATTATATAAATATATATGCATTTGTGTATATATATGTATAGATATGCATACATATAGATATGCATATACATAGATAAATGATACATATAAAACCAACAATAGACTCATATCTAATCTATGCAAGCCCTTCACAAAAGATTTGATATTGCCAAAGGACATTTGAAAAAGCACCCGGCATCATGAAGCTTCACTGAAATGAAAATTAAAACTACAATAAGATATTATTACACACACATCAGAATGCTTAAAATGAAAAAAGACAATACACTAAGTGTTGGCAAGAAAGAGAAGCAGTTGGCACTCTCAGTAAAATTGTAATTTATTAAACCATTTGGACAATTATTTGGCAGTCATTAATAAAAGTAACACATGCACATCCAACAATTATGCTCATAGTTGTATCAATAGAAATCCTTATATTGGGATAACAATGTGTTAGAGTAATAACAGCACTATTCACAATAGCCACAAACTAGAATCAACTCAAAAGTCCATAACAACACAATGAAAAGATAAATTTTGGAATTGTTATAAAATAAAACACTCTAAAGTAACCCTAACTTACCTACTGCTATTTATGACAACGTGAATGAATCCTACAAACACAAAATTAAGTGAAAATACTAGATACTTAAAAATACATAATGTGATTCCATTTATATTAAGTTCACAAACAGGCAAAACTAACCTATGGCATAATACTGGAGATATCTAGCGGGGGAGGAAGGTAGGAGGAGACATAAAGGGACTTCTGGGGTCCTGGCAAAATTACTTTTCTTGATCTGTGTGTTGATTACACAGATATGTTTAATTCATGATAATTCATTTAGCTATATACATTTAGGATGTTTCCAACATTCTCTTTGTATATTACATTCCAGTGAAAAGGTTTATTTAAAAAGAAGCAGTTTGCATTCACCCAATTCCACCCAAGCTGAGGTTTGCATTACTCTGTCACTGTGGAGGGCTTCAGCCGGATGCCCTCCTGACAATCCATTTGGGCAATAATAGGAAATCTCTGCAATGTGACAATCACTGAACTGGGAATTAAAACCTGGATTAAAAAAAAAAAAAAGATTATGTGCTGATGCACTGCTGACAGTTCACCTCACTTACTCACCAATTCCTTATTTCTAATAATAAAGTAGGGATTAGGCTCGTGGATCTCTGAGACCCCTTCTGTCTCTAACTGTCTATGTTTCTTTCATTCTTTGACGGGACCAGGCAGAAGTCTCAACAGAAAGGAGGAATAGAAACTCATTTTTCAAGAAATAAAATGATTGTTTTAAAGAAAGCCATTGAGGTCATTTTATCTAAAACAAGGTAGTGCACTTCTTTTAGAGTTCAGAGCTATGTGAACCAAGCAGTAAAATAACTGTTTCTCTTTGTCTCAGATAAATTATTCACCACAACCTGGACTGACTCAAATTCCAAAGGTTACAAAACCACACCCTAATTGTAATCAACCTATGTTGCACATGTTGAGTTGGTTAATGTGTATTTGAAAGTCACTGATTATCCTGAGTAATGAAATATTGCCTCATAGTACATGGTAAGTAAATGTTGATGACTCTGGTTGAACTGAATTTCTTGCTTGGAGGGAATGATGTAAGAGTTAGGAGATAGGGTTCCAGTCTCGGCCCTATAATTTTCAGCCTCTGTGTCATTGAACAAAATACTGAATCTCCAAGGCCCAGCTTCCTTATCTCTAAAGTGGGAATAATTTTACCATAGGCAAGGGTAATTGAGAGAATCAAAAGAGTTATGATGGGTATAAAAATTGTCTGTGAATTGTCAGAATCCCTGTAAATATGTTTGATAAAATATTGTTGATATGGGATCTTGACAAAACTTAATTTTTCCTTATTGCAGTTAGAAATAACTGCATGAATCCAGTATTATTTCTAATAGCCAAGATATAGAAACAACCTAAGTGTTCATTCACAAATAAATGGATGAAGAAATTGTGGTGTTTATTTATATACACAATGGAATATCTTTTAAACTTTAAAAGGAGATACTGCCATTTGCAACAACAAGGAATGAACCTGGAGGATATTATGCTAAGTGATATGAGCTAGATACAGAGGAAAAAAGATTGCATGATTTCACTTATATGAAGAATCTTTACAAAGTCAAATACATAGAAACAGAGAGTAGAATGGTGGTTACCAAAAGTAGGAGGGGGAGAAAATGGAAAAAAGTGCTTTAAAGAGTCCAAATTTGCAGTTAGATAGGATGAATAAGTCTAAAGATCTAATAGACAGCAAGAGGACTATAGTTAATATACTATACTGAAAATTTGCTAAAAGAGTAGATTTTAGGTGCTTATACCACAAAAAAAGAAGGTAATTATAGAATTGATGAATAATAAAATTTAACTGTAGTAATCATTCCACTGTTTATGTCTACCAATGTTGTATACCTTAAATATGTACAATGGAAATAAATAACTGTACTAGTCATTTAGAATACCACAATGATATCTTTACAGAATATGCCTTTGTACAAGCATTGCCATTAATGATCCAGAAATGTGTGTATCATTTGAGTGATACATAGAGCCTCATGACCACTAAATGTCATCTTCTGTTCAGGTCTGCACAACTGTGTTTGTTCTGTGCTGTAGGTCTGTTGAATGATTTCCCTACCTCCCATTCACCACTGAAGCACATGCCTGTTGTTCTGCCTATAGTTCCCCTTCCTTGCTGTGGAATATTTCATTCCATTATTTCTGACATAGACCAAAAAAGCAATAGAAACAGTTGTGTCTGGAGGCGAGTGGGAGGTGGAGAAGCCATAGTTTCTGAGCTCTTACCCACTTAATTCTCTGAGATTGACTCTTTCCTCAGTTACACTGAGTAAGTTTCAGCTCTTCAGTGACAGAGAGGGGAGAAACCCTAGCTTTTATTTCTTCTCTTGAGAATGTACAGCCTTGTTATTTTGTGAACAGTGTGGTGTAGATTCAGACTGATGAATGTTTTTAGGATTTATTTTATTTTGCTAAAACTGGTCACAAGGCAGCTCAGGTGTAAGTGATAATATACTGCAGCGGGCATCAGAAGATCTCAGTTCAAATCCCAGCCTGCCATTTATGAGCTGTGGGACACTGAATAGGTCATCTCTTCTCCTAGAGTCTCCCTTTCCCCATTTGAAAAATATGAAATAATATTCTCAGCTGTCCAGTGTTTTTCAGGGGGGTTAATGGAAAAAGGTGTGTATGTTTACTTAATTGATAACCGGTTTAGCCGTTTAAGATGAATGAGTTTGTTAGCTGCGCTATGTTTAGGCAGCTGTAATGTTAGTACTACACTAAAATATTTCAAAAGGATCTCGTTTTCAAGGAAAATGATCCCAGTGCTTGAGAAAGCATTATAGTGTTGCAGTCTTCCTGATCCTTAGCTCAGCTAAGTCCGAGTTGCTATCTCATGCAGGAAGAATTAGCACACAGACACCAGAGAGTGAGTAGAGTAGAATTTATTAAGTGAAAGAAAAACTCTCAGCAAAGAGAGAGGCCCTGAAAGCAGGTTGCGGATTGCCAATTCACAGTTGAATACCAGGATTTTTATAGAAAAGCTGATGAGGCTGGGATCCTTATTTGCATAAGGCGTGAATTCCTGGTGTTTCCACCCCTTCCTTCCATTGCGCATGTGGACTCAGTGTAAGCCACTCCATATTGATTTAATTCCCTTACTGCACATGTGTTAAAGGTAGGAATTTTTCACTGCGGGCATATTTAGGCAAGCTCCCTGTGCAAGTTCTCTTATCTGCACAAAACATCTAGTGTAAGTACTTGGGGTTTTTGTGGATTGGGCTATGACCTGGAAGGGTTTGAGGTTCTCTGGGGACCCTTCCCTTACTGCCTACCTAAAGCAAGCTGGCTACCTCCTCTCAATAGGATAAATATTATTTTATATACAAGGGATATAATACACAGATTCCCCTCAAGGTCATATTTCCAACTGTTCATCAATCTAAGAATCCAAAATTTTGAACACTTTTTTGATGAAATAATTTATTTCATTTGTTCTCAATTTTGGCTGCACAGTGGAACCACCTGGGGTTTTGAAAAAAACCTAGGCCTGGCCGGGCACAGTGGCTCATGCCTGTAATCCCAGCACTTTGGGAGGCCAAGGCGGGCGGATCACCAGAGGTCAGGAGTTTGAGACCAACCTGGCCAACATGGTGAAACCCTGTCTCTGCTAAAAATACAAAATCAACCAGGCGTGGTGGTGCATGCCTGTAATTCCAGCTACGCCGGAAGCTGAGGCAGAATCGCTCGAACCCAGGAGGTGGAGGCTGCAGTGAGCTGAGATCTTGCCCTTGCACTCCAGCCTGGGCAACGAGAGCGAAACTCCAGCTCAAGAAAAAAAGAAAAACAAAATAAAACAAAACAAAAAAAACCTGGGCTCTGCTTCAGACTAGTTAAACCAGAATCTCCAGGGTGGGGCATTGGAAATGAGAACAAGAAAAAAGAACACCTTATTTTTATCTTTTTCAGTGAGCCAATGTTCATTCAGAAGAGAGATTAAAGTGCTTTTTGCTGACTAGTCACAGTCAGAGTTAGAATCACAGGTGGATTAACAGGGAGTGTTATAAAAACCTTGATGTGAAAGCCTACAGTTTTCTTACTAAGAAGAGAAGCCTTCAATGGATCCAGCTGTGGCTCTGGTGCTCTGTCTCTCCTGTTTGTTTCTCCTTTCACTCTGGAGACAGAGCTCTGGAAGAGGGAGGCTCCCGTCTGGCCCCACTCCTCTCCCAATTATTGGAAATATCCTGCAGTTAGATGTTAAGGACATGAGCAAATCCTTAACCAATGTAAGTATGCTTTATGCTCCTCTAGTAATCTACAAGGTGTATTTAACCTCACGATTCCTAAAGTTTTATTTCATTTTAAAGTGATAAATGGTAATTGAATATATTAATGGGGTGCAATATTACATTTTGACACATGTATACATTGTGAATTGATCATCAGGGTAATTAGCATATCCATCATCTCAAATATTTGTCATTTCTTTGTAATGAGAACATTTAGAATCCTCTTTTTTAGCTGTTTTGAAATATACAGTACTTTAACATTAATTATAGTCACCTTGCTGTCCAGTAGAACACCCGAGCTTATTCCTCCTATCTAACTGTAACTCTGTACCTGTTGACCAAAGTATTCCCTTATTTGGCCCATTTCCACCTGCCAGCCTCTGGTAGCCACCATTCTAATCTCTACTTCTATGAATTCAACTTTTTAAGATTCCACATAGAAGTGAGATCATATATGATATTTGTCTCTCTGTGCCTGGCTTATTTTATTAATATGATGTTCTCTAGATTCATCCATGCTGTCATAAATAAGAATATTTTTTCCTTTTTAAAAGGCTGAATAACATTTCATTGTACATATATGCCACATACAAAATCAATTTATTGATGAACACTTAGGTTGTTTCCATATCTTGGCTATTATCAATAGCACTGCAATAAACATGGAAGTACAGACATCTCTTCCACATACTGACTTCAATTCCTTTGGGTATATACTGGTAGTGGGATTGCTGGATCATCTGATAGTTCTATTTTTAGTTTTTTGAGGAATATCCATACTGTTTTCTCAAATCACTATGCTAATTTACATACCCAAGGTTCACGTTATTCCACATCTTTTTCAACACTTGTTATCTTTTTATCTTTTTAATAATAATAATATCTAGAAGTTGTGATGAGATATCTCATTGTGGTTTTAATTTGCATTTCTCTGATGATTAAATTTGTTGAGTATTTAAAAAATATATCTCTTCGCCATTTATATATCTTCTTTTGAAAAATGTCTACTGAAATCCTTTGCCCATTTAATTAATTAATTAATTAATTGATAGAGACAGGGTTTTTCTCTGTTGTAGGCTGCAGTGTAGTGATGGGATCACAGTTTGCTTCAGCCTTGAGCTCCTGGGCTCAAGCCATCCTTCCACCTTAGTCCCCCAAGTAGCAGGGACTACAGGTGTATGCCACCATGCCTGGATAATTTTTTAATATTTTGTAGGGATGTGGTCTCTCTGTTTTCCAGGCTGGTCTTGAACTCTTGGGCTCAAGCAATCCACCCACCTTGGTCTCTCAAAGTGCTGGAATTACAGGCATGAGCCATTGCACTTGGCCCTTTTGCTCATTTTAAATAGAATTATTTGTTATTGAGTAATTTGAGTGTCTATATATTTTGAATATTAGTCCCTTATCTTATGTCTGAGTTGCAAATATTTTCTCCCAATCTGTGGATTGTCTCTTGACTCTATGACTTGTTTCCTTTGCTGTGCAGAAGTTTAGGTGGTCAGAATCTCATTTATCTAGTTTTGCTTTTGTGGCTTGTGCTTTTAGAATCATATCCAAGAAATCATTGCCTAGACCAATGTCATGGAGTTTTTCTCTATGGTTTCTTTTACTAGTTTTTAGTTTCAGGTCTTCTGCTTAAGACTTTAATTCATTTTGAGTTAATTACTATATAAGGGGTGAGATTAGGATTCTGTTTTATTCTTTGCATAAGAATATCCAGTTTTCTCAACACCTTTTGCTGAAGAGTGCTTTCCCCATTGTATGTTCTTGGCACCTTTGTCAAAAATCAATTGATTATAGATGTGTGGGTTTATTTCAGGGTTCTCTATGTTTTCCTTTAATCAATGTGTCTGTTTTTATGCTAATGCTATGCTGTTTTGCTTACTATAGCTTTGTCACATATTTTGCAGTTCAATAGTGTGATGCCTCCAGCTTTATTCTTTTGGTTAATTTGCTTTAGTTATTTGGGATATTTTGTGGTTCCATACAAATTTTAAGATTGTTTTTTCTATTTCTGTGAAGAATGAGATCAAAATTTTTATAGGGATTGCATTGGATCTGTATATTGCTTTGGGTAGTATGGACATTTTACCACTATTAGTTTTTCCAATCCATGAACATGGGATAGCTTTGCCTTTATTTGTGTCACCTTCAATTTCTTTCATCAATGATTTGTAGTTTTCAGTATATAGATCTTTCTCTTCTTTGGTTACATTTATTCCTAAGTATTTTATTTTTTGATGCTACTATAAATGAATTGTTCTCTTAATTTCTTTTTTAGATATTTTGTTGCTAGTGCATAGAAATGCCACTGATTTCTGCATGTTGCTTTTATATCCTTCAAGTTTACTGAATTTGTTTATCAGTTCTAGTACTTTTGTTCTGAAGTCTTTAGGATTTTCTACATATAAGATTACATCATCAGGAAACAGACAATTTCACTTCATCCTTTCCTATATGAATATTCCTATATTAATATTTTCTATTTTTAGTCTAATTGCTCTGACTAGGACTTTCAGTACTCCGTTGAAGAGAAATGGTCAGAGGGGGCATTCTTCTCTAATTTCTGATCTTGCAGGAAAAGCTTTTAACTTTTCACCATTAAATATGATGTTAGCTGTGGGCTTGTCCCATATAACCATTAAGGTCACATAGAAACTTCTGTATTACCAGAGGCCAGTTATTAAAGGTTATATGTTATAGGAACATTCCTCAACATTCCTCCTGTACTACCAGAGGCCAATTATTAAAGTATGTTATTGTAAAGCAAATACTTCCTGTGGAGTATGTTTTTCTTTTGTGTCATTGTCAGAAATAGTGGAATAAAATAATGCATTTTGCCAGAAGAGAAACATTTTAAGTTGTAAGGTAGAATCAAAATGATAAAGGCCTGCTGCTTTTCTTTTCTTCACAGTCATTTGCTATAATTTTTTTGCCTGAAAGAAAATGGTAATGGAAGTGTTTTGTGATTAAAGGTTTTGAGAAGTCAGTAACTGTATATGCTATGTATTTTGCTTACATTAGCCATGATCATTAAACTTCTTAAAAAAGCAAGTCATGCCTGATGTCGAAGAAATATCTATGAGTTCATCATAAACATAAATGAATGAAAGAAATAATTAGTCAGAGCCATCTGGGTGGTAACAGAATATTTATGGCCTCTGTACAAAGCTGCTGTCTGTGACCTATGAGTGTACAGCATGGAAAACATTGTTCCTCTGTGAGGTGCCACGCATCCTGATACTATCTCTGTAGGGTCCACTCTCTTTCTGTGGTGATTATACTAGTGGATCTCAAAGTGGACCGGGCAGTAGAATCATCTGGGTGATTTAAAAAGGTGTAGATTTTTTAGTATTGATGACAGGACTCCTGCATCAGGATCCCTATGGGATGAGCTTTGCAGGGGATCCTGAAGCAGTGTCCCAGTGGCTGAATATTGGTCAAAATATGGACATTGGGAGCTGAAAAATTGCTCAGGCATCACAGGTTGACTAAGCAGGCTTCAAATTTGGACCTTCTGTTTATCAGTTGTGGGATACTGACAATGAATTTGAAATTCTTTAAAATTCAATTTGTCTTATCTGTAAAATAAAGTAAACAAATCTAGCTCAAGGTATTGATGTGATGACTAAGTTTAATAACCTGCATACTAATTTCCTAGGCCACTGCCTGGCACATTGAAGGCACTGTATACGTGCAGCTAAAACAATAATCATCATCTTTATGTAAAATCCACAAATATTTGAAGCTGTATTTGACAAAATAATCATATCAACATTATGATGCTAGTATCAGTCTGAATCACGGACAATATATAGACCAAATACTGAGTTTTGCTACTATTTGAACCTCCTTTTCTATGTTCAGTTCTCGAAAGTCTATGGCCCTGTGTTCACTGTGTATTTTGGCCTGAAACCCATTGTGGTGTTGCATGGATATGAAGCAGTGAAGGAGGCCCTGATTGATCATGGAGAGAAGTTTTCTGGAAGAGGAAGTTTTCCAGTGGCTGAAAAAGTTAATAAAGGACTCGGTAAATGTGCATGTATCGTGTGAATGTGTACATGTGTATGTACTGGGCAGTGGTTATAGGGATGGGGAGGATGGAAAACAGAGGCTTGAAGAGCTCCTGAGACAGAACTTGACCCATCCACGTGGCTGCCGAGTGTCAGCTCTGTTCTCCTTGTTTGGAATCTCCCTCCTAGTTTCTGTTTTCTGTTCTGTTAGGAATCCTTTTCAGCAATGGAAAAAGATGGAAGGAGATCCGGCGTTTCTCCCTCATGACTCTGCGGAATTTTGGGATGGGGAAAAGGAGCATTGAGGACCGTGTTCAAGAGGAAGCCCTTTGCCTTGTGGAGGAGTTGAGAAAAACCAATGGTGGGTGACTGACTTTTTTTTTTTTCCTGAAAAATGTTTTCTAAAATTTATTTTAATTTATTTTTAAATTGATACATAACCTTTATACATATTTATGGGGTACATGTAATATTTTGTTACATGTACAGAATGTGTAATGATCAAGTTACGGTGTTTAGGATATGCATCACGTTGAACATTTACGTTTCTATATGTTGAGAACATTTCAAGACCTGTGTTCTAGCTATCTTGAAATACACAATACTCTGACATTAACAGACTGCTATCTTCTCTAATGACATCCCTGGAAACCTCCTGGGGTGGCCAGATCTCTCATGATAGGCAGTGGTTGTCAGTCTTCATATGGAGGGGGGAGATTTGAAACAGAGAGCCAAGGGAGCTTTTGTACACCTATGCTTGTTGCGTTTGTACACAATGACTATGCATACAGTGTGAGTATAAAAGCCTTATTTAATCCTATTCTGTCCCAGGCTTGGTTTGTTTTCAAATCATTATAGCATTAATTTAGAAGGTTTTGTCTCATTTTTTTCAAATTATTAAAGAGTAATGTTTTTCCCATAGTATAATTGTGGATTATGTGTTCTAGAACATTTCACCAGGGAATACTTGTGGCACAGACATAGTGGGAATGATTTCTTTACATCTTTTAGGCATGAAACAACTGACATGTACTTTCATTTGGTTGGTCTATATTTGTCCAGTCAGCCTCACTAACATATCTGGGGGTTTCTTCTGAGGTGTGTGTCTACAATTTCTACCATAATGATGCTTATCTATGGTTTTAAGAGACCAGGCATCTTTAGTGTAGCTTTTATCAATTTTAATTTCCCTGTTAATTAAGAACTAATTAAAATTATCAGCTGGAGTTATTTAATGTTACTATTTACTGTAATGTTTTATGTATTTTAAGAAAATATATGCTATAACATAGTCTTTCAATTTAAAAAAATGCCAAATTATAAAATGTTTATTTAAATAAATTTTAAGTATTATTAATAACTCTTTATCCTACCTTCCCTAGTTGTACATTAGCTCTGTATTCAGCTTTCTTTGTATTTTCCTTCATCTTTATTTGTGTATTAATCATGTTTTTTATTTTCTATTTTTTTATGATGCTTCGACATCTTGGGGATTTTGTGGTCCTAGAAGGGACTGCCCCTCCCAAAGTCAGACAGTTCCCAGAGATAGCAAATATCTTGTCCACAGCATGTCTCTTATTTACAAAGCAAACTCTCCAGAGCTCAGAGCCCCATCCACCTTCTTTATCAAACTCTCACACATGAATCCAATATAGTTGTCCCTCCTTATCAGTAAGACATTGGTTCTAGGACTCCTCTTGGATACCAAAATCCACATTTGCTCAAGTCCCTTAAATATGGCATAATATTTGCCATATATTTGGAGAATATTGACAATATTATTTATAATATTTCCCAATATTAGAGAATGTTGACAAGAAAAAAGGTCTGTACATGTTCTGTACAGATACTTGTTTTTGCTCTGAATATTTTTGATTTGGGGTTGGTTGAATCCATGATACACCATGGATACAGAGTGCTGACTGTATTCTCCTTGTCTTAAATCATTACAGAGCCAGTTATGGGACAACTATGGACCACCCCTATATCCTAGAGCCCACAGAAATTGTTCAAACTATCTATTCCCAGGCTTACTCAGTCTACCCACCCTATCTCACTCATTTCTTCCTGTGAAAACACCAATAAAGGCTCAGCCCCATGGTTTCTTTTTGCTCTTGCTGCCTCCTGACCAACCCTGGTACTTCCCCATGTGGCTCCCCACACCCTCAACGTGGTGTGAAGTGCCCCTCCTCTAGGAACTGCGAGCAATGAACTGTCTTTTCAAGGGCAGTCTGTTTTGGGGCTACCTGATCTGTTGACCTCACCAAATCTAAATAGAAACAAAATCCACGGTGAATATTAAAACAATTGGATTTAGGATTAAAAGTTATTTATCCTCTCCTCATCCCAGTTGGACTCACCTATAAAGTTCTTGTCATAATGAGTCTGATTTTCAGCTTGGATTACAAATTACCCTGATTTTTATTATCTCCCTGATATAGTATGGATGTGTGTTCCCATTCAAATCTTATATTGAAATGTAATCCCCGTACTGGAGATGGGGACTGGTGAGAGGTGATTGGATCATGGGGCTGGATTTTTCATGAATAGTTTAGCACCAACCCTTTTGGTACTTTTCTCATGATAGCAAGTGAGTTTTCATGAAATCTAGTCATTTAAAAGTGCATAGCACCTCCCGCCTCCTTCTCTTGCTTTGGCTTTTGCCATGTGAGTGCAAGCTCCTACTTTGCCTTCTGCCATGCATCATGCTTCCTGCACAGCCTGCAGAACTGCGAGCCAATTAAATCTCTTTTCTTATAAATTACCTAGTCTTAGGTATTTCTTTATAGCAATTCAAAAACAGCCTAATATACTCCCCCAATTGAAGTGAAAGGAAAGATCAGAAACCAGATTTTCACTATGAATATCATGTGCATGGGCATGTACAAACACACGTGCACGTGCATGCACACACACACAGAAATCTCAAACTAATAATCCCAAATTATCCCCTGCCTTCCAGGCTAGAATAAAAGATTTTCTGAAAACTTAGTGCCCTGGCATGTTTCAGCTGAAAAGAAGCCTGGCATAGGAGCAGTTAACTAAACACAGTCCTATTATTTAATTCCCCATCATTACCACACAGCATTTTTGTTCAAGTCACTCTTAATTACATTTATGATACTCTCATGTGTAGAGTTCATTGATGATTTGATTATAACAGTTTTATTTAAAAATTGCTCACAAATAATCACTTTCCTCTATAATAATTTATTGATTTGTGAAATGATGGAATTACCTAAATGATGATCAAATTAAGAAATTTATAATAACATAAGGTTTTTTTTGGATGGCTAGATGGAACAATAACCGAGGATTCTATAAGAGGTCAGGCTTTGTTCAAATAAGTTGAAGATAGTGCCCGGTGATAATAGACACAATTTCTTAGAGCCGGAAATTCTTTTTTTTTCTTTCAATATCGAAATAAGGAAACAAAAGGACTCCATTTATCAATTTAAGTTTTTCTGTCTGCCCTATTTGTAATTTAGGTTTGAAATGAAAGTTTCTTATTTACTTTTATTTTAGGCAAACCAGTCTATCTTCTTATTTGTGTTAGCTTTTTTCTTGTATAACATAGATGACTTTTGCTTTTTTACATTTGTTCCATCAATCTGAATTTTCCCATACTCTTTCTCTCTTTAGTCTCCCCCTCTGCTGGTTCTACACACAGTTACTTCAACTATTCATTATATAGAAGAGGTTTTCAGGTTCCTATTTTCTCCCTTCCTCTATCAATCAATTGTCTACAAGCTTTCCAGATAAATGTTATTCCGCACTGATAACTTGAATTATTAAGTGGTTTTAAATGTGGCCTCTTTAAATTTTTTTGTTTTCTCTTCAGAATAACAGGCATCTTGGGTCAGAATTGTATAAAGAAAGGCAGTGAAGTAAATGCAGTATTTGGAAAACCATTATTAAATAGCTAGGATGGAATAATTAATTCAATATTAAGGAAAAAGTGAGGTATTAAATTTCAATATACTATAGTTTATGTTGATAAGAGAATTTCTAGGTAGATATTGGTTTAGAGTTTCTAAAATTACTTTTCCCTGTTATCCAAGACAAAGTATTTTTTATATATATATATTTTAATGATAATTTAAAATATTTCCAATCCTTTAGCCTCACCCTGTGATCCCACTTTCATCCTGGGCTGTGCTCCCTGCAATGTGATCTGCTCTGTTATTTTCCATAATCGATTTGATTATAAAGATCAGAGATTTCTTAACTTGATGGAAAAATTCAATGAAAACCTCAGGATTCTGAGCTCCCCATGGATCCAGGTGAGATCAAGAGCTTCTCTTCCTGAGATATTATTTTTGTTATTTTATCAGACAGTTGAAAATTTTTTAAATTTTTAAAAATTATACTTTAAGTTCTGGGATACATGTGCAGAATGGGCAGATTTTTTACATAGGTATACATGTGCCATGGTGGTTTGCTGCACCCATCAACCTGTCATCTACATTAGGTATTTCTCCTAATGCTATCTCTCCCCTTACCCCCTACTACCCAACAAGCCCTGGTGTGTGATGTCCCCCTCCCTGTGCCCATGTGTTCTCATTGTTCAACTCCCACTTATGAGTGAGAACATGTAGTGTTTGGTTTTCTGTTCCTGTGTTAGTTTGCTGAGAATGATGGTTTCCAGCTTCATCCATGTCCCTGCAAAGGGCGTGAACTCTCTCAGCATCTGCTTGTCTGTAAAGGATTTTATTTCCCCTTCACTTACGAAGCTTAGTGTGGCTGGATATGAAATTCTGGGTTGAAAATTCTTTTCTTTAAAAATGTTGAATATTGGCCCCCACTCTCTTCTGGCTTATAGGGATCTGCACAGAGATCTGCTGTTAGTCTAATGGGCTTCCCTTTGTGGGTAACCTAACCTTTCTCTCTGGATGCCCTTGACATTTTTTCCTTCATTTCAACCTTGGTGCATCTGATGATTATGTGTCTTTGGGTTGCTCTTCTCCAGGAGTATCTTTGTGATGTTCTCTGTATTTCCCGAATTTGAATGTTGGCCTGTCTTGCTGGGTTGGGGAAGTTCTCCTGGATAATATCCTGAAGTATGTTTTCCAACTTGGTTCCATTCTTCTGTCACTTTCAGATACACCAATCAAACATAGGTTTGGTCTTTTCACATAGTCCCATATTTCTTGGAGGCTTTGTTCATTCCTTTTCATTCTTTTCTCTCTAATCTTGTCTTCTCACTTTATTTCATTAAGTTGATCTTCAATCTCTGATATCCTTTCTTCTGCTTGATAGATTTGGCTATTGATACTTGTGTATGCTTCATGAAGTTCTTGTGCTTTGTTTTTCAACACCATCAGGTCATTTATGTTCTTCTCGAAACTGGTTATTCTAGTTAGCAATTCCTCTTTTTATCAAGGTCCTTAGTTTCCTTGCATTGGGTTAGAACATAATCCTTTAGCTTGGAGGAGTTTGTTATTACACATCTTCTGAAGCCTACTTCTGTCAATTTGTCAAACTCATTCTCCGTCTAGTTTTGTTCCCTTGCTGGTGAGGAGTTGTGATCCTTTGGAGGAGAAGAGGCATTCTGGTTTTTGGAATTTTCAGCCTTTTTGTGCTGGTTTTTCCTCATCTTCATGGATTTATCTACCTTTGGTCTTTGCTGTTGGTGACCTTCGAATGGAGTTTTGCGTCATCGTCCTTTTTGTTGATGTTGTTGGTATTGCTTTCTGTTTGTTAGTTTTACTTCTGTCCAGGCCCTCTTCTGCAGGTCTGCTGCAGTTTGCTGGGGGTCCACTCCAGACACTGTTTGCCTGGGTATCACCAGTGGAGCCTGCAGAATAGCAAAGATTGCTGCCTGGTCCTTCCTCTGGAAGCTTCATCCCAGTGGGGCACCAGCCAGATGCCACCCAGAGCTCTCCTGTATGACATGTCTGTTGACCCCTGCTGGGAGGTGTCTCCCTGTCAGGAGGCTCAGGGTCCAGGGACCCACTTGAGGCAGTCTGTCCCTTAGCAGAGCTTGAGTGCTGTGCTGGGAGATCTGCTGCTCTCTTCAGAACCATCAGGCAGAAACGTTTAAGTCTGCTGAAGCTGTCCCCACAGCCACCCCTTCCCCCAGGTGCTCTGTCCCAGGGAGAGGTAGTTTTATCTATAGGCCCCTGACTGGGACTGCTGCCTTTCTTTCGGAGATGCCCTGCCCAGAGAGAAGTCTAGAGAGGCAGCCTGGCTACAGGGACTTTGTGGTGCTGCGGTGGGCTCTGCCCAGACTCAACTTCCCAGAGGCTTTGTTTACACTGTGAGGGGAAAACCGCCTACTCAAACCTCAGTAATGGTGGACACCCCCCACTCCCATCAAGCTCGAGCATCCTAGGTGGACTTCAGACTGCTGTGCTGGCAGCGAGAATTTCAAGCCAGTGGATCTTAGCTTGCTCGGCCCCATAAGAGTGGGATCCTCTGAGCTAGACAACTTGGTTCCCTGGCTTCAGCCCCATTTCCAGGGGAGTGAATGGTTCTGTCTTGCTGGAATTCAGGTGCCATTGGGGTATGAAAAAAAGACTTCTGCAGCTAGCTTGGTGTCTGCCCAAACGGCCACCCAGTTTTGTGCTTGAAACCCAGGGCCCTTGTGGTGTAGGCACCTGAAGGAATCTCCTAGTTTGCGTGTTGCAAAGACCATGGGAAAAGTGTAGTATCTGGACCAGATAGCACTGTCCCTCACAGCTTCCCTTGGCTAGGGGAGGGAGTTCCCCGACCCGTTGTGCTTCCCAGGTGAGCCAATTCCCTACCCTGCTTCTGCTTGCCCTCCGTGGGCTACCCCCACTGTCTAACCAGTCCCAATGAGATGAACCAGGCACCTCAGTTGGAAATGCAGAAGTCATTGGCCCTCTGCATTGGTCTCGCTGGGAGCTCCAGACTGGAGCTGTTCCTATTTGGCCATCTTGCCCCAATCCCAGTCCAAAACTTTGTATGTACCAAGCTGTGAAGTGAATGTTTGAAAACTGGAAATTTTGGATACTCTTATGTGGTAACTCTGGAAATCAGAGTCTTTCCTCTCTTTAGGGTATTTTGTTGCCTGCTATAGTTTTTTTTGTTTGTTTGTTTTTGTTTTTTTCTTCTGAAGGCTATATCTTTCTTTAGTGACTTTTCAAAACTATTTTTGCAAATCATGTGTGGTTTCTGAAGTCTTTTCTTTAGCTTATGTTCAGATAGTTTTGACAGAAATTTTCTTAAATGTGGAGAGGCAAAAAAGAGACATAGAAAAAATATATGTATTTATATATATAAATAGCAGAAGAAAGATGGAAGGAAGTAAGGAAAGAAATGAAGGAAGGAACGAAGGAAGGAAAGAAGGAAAGGAGGGAGGGAGGCAGGCCGGTCTTTCAGATTGGTTGGAGCACTTCTTGTCATAGCCTTCACTTACTGCTTAAGTTGAGCCTGGATATCAGCCAGAGGTGAAAGTTCAGGATCTTCTCACGTTTTTCTAATTAGCCTGTCCTGCTCTGGGCATGTTGATAACTTTCTAAATTTCTTAGTATACATAGGCACTTTTGAACATCCCAGTTTTCCAAAGAAACTGTCTCTCAGCTTTTATTTTCAGGATTTTAGTGCTGTACTGTGTGCCTCAACTGTTATCATTTGCCCCAGGTAGCTTTGGGTTGTTCATTTGTCTTAGAAGGTTTTTGAGAAATGGCCATTGCTTTTCCACCCTGAATGAATTTTGAATCAGGTGAAACAAAGGTGAGTGCCTCATGTTAGCCCATGGTAGTCCTCAGACAGGTGAGAAAGAGAAATATACTTTTTTGCAAGTACGGTCTTCTGTGGTCTCTCTGGAACCAGGAACCAGGGTCCTCCACTGGGAACAGGGCTACCCTTGACAAGATCACTGCCAAGCTGATGACGGAGGTGGGACAAGAGCAAATAAACATACCACAAAGCTTATGTAGCCATAAGCCATACTATGTAGCCATAAATACTTCATCATCATGGAATACTATGTAGCCATAAAAAGGAATGAGATCATGTCCTTTCCAGGGACATGCGTGGAGCTGGAAGCCATTATCATCAGCAGACTAATGCGGGAGCAGCAAACCAAACACCGGATGTTCTTTCTTATAAGTGGGAGCTGAACAATGAGAACACATGGACTCAGGGAGGGGAACAACACACACTAGGGCCTGTTGGAGGGTTGGGGAAGGGAGAGCATTAGGAAAAATAGCTAATGTGTGCAGGGCTTAATACCTAGGTGATAAGTTTATAGGTGCAGCAAACTACCGTGGCATACATTTATCTATGTAACAAACCTGCACATCCAGTACATGTACCTTGGAACTTAACATAAAAATAAAAATAAAAATAAACCCACAAAGCTTTTCTACTATTTTTAAGTTGCCATTTTCTTTATTCAGCTTTCTCTTGCTTGCTGTAAACCTTTGACTGATTTCCAGAGTTCTGTTAAAGTTGATTCTGACTTTTTTGTTTGAAGTTTTGGGTGTTTTCATGGAGAGATGGGCCCATGGAACTGTCTTTTGTGCCAATTTTGTAGGCATTATTACTCTGTGAAGTGAGTGGTTGAACACTACAGCTTGTCCATATCTTAGCATTGTGGCATTAACATCTGGGAAAGATAGATGATTTCTTTATTTTACAGACAAGAAAAGAAATGCCTGAATATAGAGCTGGAATTCAAGCCCATTAGCTAGCGTTTTTTTTTCCACCAAACCCCCAAATCCAGTTTCTGGCAGTACTTTGGTGACTGTCCAAAAGCACACACTCAATGGAAATCCAAGTCCCTTGTTGAAAAGCTGGCATTACTCACAGGCTTTTCCTCTAATTCACACCTAGAGACCTCTTCATCACATTATTTGGCAAAAAGGGAGAATGTTTGGGAGCACAGATGCTACCAGGAAGTTCTGAATAGGATAGGGGTGTTTGCTGCTTCAGCAAGGCAATTAAGATTAAGATGACAAAATGATTGGGTTTTGGGGTGTATGAATCATTAAAAAATTACAGTTTTGCCCTGTGCTGAGCTAGCGTGTCCCAAACTCTGTCTAAAAGATAATTGTGTGATTATCTTAACTACTCACGGAAGTATCTTAACTACTCTGGTGTACGGGTACTTATCCATAAAATGCTGAATTACATTTTATGGTATCTTTGTACCCCTCCCAGTTACAAAAGAGTGATTCTATTTCTGAGGCTTCCTGCTAGGAGTAGAAATAGCAGGGAACAGCTTTGTGGTCTATTTCATGTTATTCAAATTTCCTTAACCTCTGTTCTTATCTGCAAAATGGGAATTAAAGCAATTCATGTAATTCTATATTTCAAGGCTATAGAGAAAAATTAAAGTAAAAAATGAGATAATTGACATGAAGATATTTTAATATTCTGAAAACAATATATGAGTATAGGAAATTATCATCTTTGATCCCTTGTTGAGAATTTTCTAACTTAAATCTTTCAGTATAGAGGACTACTTTGTACGTACACTCAAATGCTCCTCTTAAAGAAGGAGACAATTTTTAAAAATTTACTTCAGTTTTAAACCAGCAGTTAACTTATGGTATATGTCTTCAATACATGTGTTTAATTTGATTAATTTTAAAAAATCTTTAAGGTCTGCAATAATTTCCCAGCTCTCATCGATTATCTCCCAGGAAGTCATAACAAAGTAGTTAAAAATTTTGCTTATGTTAAAAGTTATGTTTTGGAAAGAATAAAAGAACATCAAGAATCCCTGGACATGGACAATCCTCGGGACTTTATTGATTGTTTCCTGATCAAAATGGAACAGGTAAAATGTTATTTGTTTGCCTACATCTTGTGGTTCATTGATTAGTTCTATAATGATTGCTTAAATGGTGAGGCAAGAAACTCTTCACGATCACTTTAAGTACTTATTATGAGTATGGATCTGGGTGAAGCACCATGGAGAATTTATAATTGAATTGTTAAACAATTAGAATATGTGAGCAATATTTTTAGGTACTAATAATTTATCTGAGGAAAGACGGAATGCATGTCTCAGATGAAAAGGAAATATAAATAAGTTAGAAAATGCAAAATATATAGTCATAAATTGAAAGTGGGCATGGTCATATCACACAGCATATGGGAGAGTTAGGTGAAAGGCTTTAACCTAAATGGGCCTCCTGCATGTCCTGATGTTTGGTGTAAATCTTAAAATATTTACAACGAATAACGGGGCAGTCAATTTTTTAGTGTGCAGAACAGTGTGATGAGAGGTTCAGAGGTGTGTGGTGGCAAAGAGACAGAGAAGGGAGGCCTTAACTGAATGGAACCAGAAGTAAATCTGGACACATATGGAATTGGAGGTGTCTAACCTGCAGACCTGAATGCTGGCATGGAGAGTTTTGATTTGATCAGGTATATGTGTGAGCCCTAACAAGAGTGGGATGCATATAATTATTAGAGAAAATAATCCTAGGAGTTGTGTAGAAGGATATGTACAATGAGAATGGAGGTCAAAAACTTGCTACAAGACTTTTCATATCTTTGAATTTCAGCTTGCTGAAAGTGTGGGCTACAGAAACACAGATTCTGAAATAAAATCAAGTTGTCCATTTTGTCATATTGCCAAAAATCTGTAGATATTAGTTTCAGTTAGAGGATCAGATAGGAGCCAAATGATGAATAATAGTGGTAGGGTCAATATGGAAACTGAGAAGGGTAATATAGATACCCTCAGGACACTAAGGTGCAAAGTACTCTTTGAACTGAGAAGTGGTCCAATCCAGAACAAACTGAAAAGAGTTAACTCTAGAGAAGAAAATTCTTCCTGTGAGGTCACCATTATTTTATTTAACCACTTTACAACACTGGGTGGAAATGAAGAATCAGCCAGTAGGTGAAAATGGCACGGAGTCAAAGATGCAAATGAAGGTGACTTTCATGAAATTGCCCATGGAATGTTAGCAGGACTGCTCGAATAATGTGTTCTAGATAGAGTGAAGTGAAGAAGATGAGATACTTTGAGGAAACTGGAGAAGGGAAGAAGCAAATTATTCTTACTGTCCACCTTCTCTACTGCTAGTTCAATGGTTCTGGGATCTAATTAATTTGAGAATCTCATTAAAATGTGGACACTTTGCCAGAAAATTGAAACTGTATGAGTTCTCCATTTTTGTACACATTTAGAGGGCTTTCCTTAATGCTATGAATCCTCTCCGTTAATTCCAGGTTAAGGAGAACTGTAAGGTCTATGGTGTTTCAGTGACCAGTGGCTATGCCCTCATTACTGTATTTAAAAAGTGTGTTGTTCCTTTGACCTCACTATAATATTTAGAATCTAGCTTATTTTATTTTTTATAACATTTTTATTGAGTTTAATTCACATATTGTACCCTCATACATTTTAAATACAATTCAATAGTTTTAGTATTTGTCACAGAGCTATGCAGCCACCACCACAATCAATTTCAGAACATTTCCATCATCCTGAAAAGAAAACCATATGCTTAACAGTCACCCCATATTGGGGTGGCTCTAGGCAATCTAATATACTTTTTGTCTCTATAGATTTGCTATTCTAGACATTTCATATACATGAAATTACACAGTATGTGGTCTTTTTTGTCTGACTTCTGTCATTTAGCACAATGTTTTCAAGATTCATTGACGTAGCATATATCAGTACCTCATTCCTTTATATAGACAAATAATATTTGGGTGTGGCTATATCATATTTTATATTTCCATTCATTAGTTGATGGTTTTGATTGTTTCTGTTTTGGCTGTTATGAATAATGTTGGTATGGACATTTGTGTACAAGATTTTGTGTATAGATAAGTTTTTATTTCTCTTGGGTATATACTTGGCTGTGGAATTGCTGGATCATGCAGCAATTGTATGCTTAATCTTTGAGAAACTGTGGCTGGATCAAAGACCTAAATGTAAGAGCTAAAAATATAAAACTCTCAGAAGAAAACCTAGGCATGAAATTTGCTGCACCATTTCGTATTCTCACTACAATGTTTTGAGGGTTCCACTTTCTCCACAACCTTGCTAATGCTTCTTATCTTTTTGATTCCAGCCATCCCAGTGGGGTGAGGTGGTTCCATGTGGTTTGGTTTGCATTTTCCTGACACCAAATAATCTTTTCTCTTGGTTATTGTTCATTTGTATTTGTCTTTGGAGAAAAATATATTCAGATCTTTTGTCCATTTTAAAATTAGGTTATTATATTTTTGAAATTATTGAGATGGAAATGTTTTTGTATATTCTAGATAAAAGTCCCTTATCAGATGTTATTTAAAGATATTTTCTCCAATTTTGTCAAGTGTCTTTCACTTTCTTAATAGTGTCTTTTGAAATACAAGTTTTTAATTTTTGTGAAATCCAATTTATTTGTTTGGTTTCTTACAATTTTCTTGTCATGTTTAAGAAATGATTACTTAGTCCAATATCACAAAGATTCACCCCAAGTTTTCTTCTAATGGTTTTATAAGTTTAACTTTTACATTTGGGTCTAAGATCCATTCTGAGTCAATTTTTGGTTATAGTGTGAGGTGTGGGTAGAACTTCATTCTTTGCATGTGCATATTCAGTTGTCCTAGTACCATTTGTTGAAAAGACATTCATTCCCCATTGAGTGACCATGGTACATTTGTTGAAATCAGTTGACTATAAACACAAGGATTTATTTTTAGACTCTCAATTCTATTTCATTGATGACTTTCTTTATGCCAGTATGACAGTACGTTTTTTTTTTTTTTTTTTGAGACAGGGTCTCACTCTGGTTGCCCAGGCTGTAGTGCAGTGGCATGATCTTGGCCTCTACCTCCCGTGCTCAGGTGATTCTCCCACATCAGCCTCCTGAGTAGCTGGGATTACAGGCATGTGCCACTACAGCCAGCTAATTTATTGTATTTTTAGCAGAGACAGGGTTTTGCTATTTTGTTCAGGCTGGTCTCCAACTACTGGCCTCAAGCGGTCTGCCCGTCCTGGCCTCCCAGATTGCTGGGATTACAGAAGTGAACCATGCACCTAGATGATGGTAGCTTTTATGTAAGTTTTGAAATTGGAAAGTGTCAGTTCTCCAATTTTGTTCTTTCCCAAGATTGTTTTGGTTCTTAGCTATTTTGGTTATGTAAAGTTCCACATGAATTTTATGGTAATCTTGTCAATTTCTATTAAAAAGATAGCAAATATTTTGATATGGATCACTTTGAATCTGTAGATCAATTTGGGAAGTAATGCCATTTTAACAATATTAAGTTTTCCAATAGATGAACACGGGATGTCTTTCCATTTATTTAGGTCTTCTTTAATTTCTTTTAACAATGTTTTTTATCAACTAGCTTAATTTTGATAGGCTATTTGTACATAACCACTGATTTTTCAAATTCACTTAAGCAGACGGAAATATTGCTATTGGTTTACAAGTGCTCTACTCTCCTTCCTGGCCTTGGTGTAATTTTGAGTTGATAAGCTTAGAAAACTGTGTTAAGTTTCTAAATGTTACCAATGGGCATGATGACCTTTGTCTGGCAAGTACATCTGTTGAGAGGATGGTTGATTACATAATATTAGGCATGCCACAGGTAACATGGAGATTATAACAACCTTATTAAATTAATGCTGTTCTAGAGGATTGAATAGGAAGAAATCATTTTTTGTATGTTAATTACTCCCTGTAATCAGTATTTTAAACTGTCCCATTGTTATGGTCAATTTTGTGTTACATATTTCCCTCATCTTAAACCAGCCTTAGTTGCCTTGCGAAGTGCTTTGTTCTTCCACGCTCCATTTTATTATTAATGGCATAAACTGCAATTACTTTTTCACCAACCAAATATAAGAACTCAATTCATTCAGTCCCTTGTCCTAAGCATCTCCATTGCCCTTACTCTCTCCTTCATCCTGTATAGGTGGTTAATGTCTAAACTCTCTGTCTTCATGTCTGTAGTGTCTCTTCAATTTCTATATTCTTATTCATTGCTGTGCTTGTTTACTAGATCAAGTTGATTATTACCTCAAATCTGGAATACAATAATGGCTGGCCCCACCTTGTCTTGTCAATCTGTTCTCTTTCTCCATAATTTTGGATATGCTACCATGTTATCTTTTGCACATTTCCAAGTTCATAATGAGTCTGCAGGCAATATTGAGTCTAACTAAATTCTTTTTTTTTTTTTCTCAGAGTTTTGCTCTGTTACCCAGGCTGGAGTGCAGTGGCATGATTGTGGCTCACTGTAGTTTGACCTCTTGGACTCAAGTGATCCTCCCACCTCAGCCTCCCCAGTAGTTGGGACTGCAGGTGCACACCACCATGCCCAGATAATTAAAAATTTGTTTTTATAGAGATAGGCTGTCACTGTGTTTGCCCAGGCTGGAGTGGACCTCCTGAACTCAAGCAATCCTCCTGCCTCAGCCTCCCACAGTGCTGGGATTTAAGGCGTGAGCCACTGTGCCCAGTCTAAATTACTTATAATTCCTAATACAATGTAAATGGTTGTTATATTATATTTTTTAGGGAACAATGACAAGAAAAAAGTCTGTATATGTCCAATACAAACACTTTTATTTTCCGAATTTTATTCTTTTTTGTTTTAGAGGCAGAATCTTGTCCCGTTGCCCAAGCTGTTGTGCAGTGGTATGACCATCGCTCACTGCAGCCTGGAACTCCTGGGCTGAAGCAATTCTTCCACCTCAGCCTCCTGAGTATGTGGGACCACAGGTGCATGCCACCATGCCCAGCTAATTTTGTTTTTTTGTAGAGATAGGGTCTTTCCATGTTGCCTAGGCTAGTCTTGCACTTCTGGGCTCAAGCAATCCTCCATCTTGGCCTCCCAAAGTGCTGGGATTACAGACATGAGCCACCTCTCCTGGCCTCTTTTTCCAATTTTTTTTTTTTTTTTTTTTTTTTTAGATGGGGTCTCGCTCTGTCGCCCAGGCTGGAGTGCAGTGGCCGCATCTCAGCTCACTGCAAGCTCCGCCTCCCGGGTCTACGCCATTCTCCTGCCTCAGCCTCCCGAGTAGCTGGGACTACAGGCGCCCGCCACCTCACCTGGCTAGTTTTTTGTATTTTTTAGTAGAGACGGGGTTTCACCGTATTTAGCCAGGCTGGTCTTGATCTCCTGACCTTGTGATCCGCCCGTCTCGGCCTCCCAAAGTGCTGGGATTACAGGCTTGAGCCACCAGGTTGGTTGAATCAATAGATGTGATATCCATGGATAGGAAGGTGGATTGTACTCTATTATTACCTATATTCAACTGGCTGTGCAATTTATTATTTTTTAAAAGAGAGATCAGATTTTCTCCTCCATTCTAACTGAGGCTTTATAGCCTTTGACTATCATCTCCCCTTTTCCCCCAACCCCCAAGCCCTCTGGCAATCAGTATTCTACTCTCTTCTATCAGTTCGGTTGTTTTAGATTCCACATATAAGTGAGAATATATGGTATTTGTTTTCCTGTTCCTGACCTGACTTATTTCACTTAGCATAATGTTCTGCAGTTCCATTCCTGTTATCACAAATAACAGAATTTCTTCATTTTTAAGACTGAATAGTATTCTATTGTATATGTATGCCACATTTTCTTTATTTATCTATTGATGGACACTTAGGCTGATTCTATATATTAGCTGTTGGGAATCGTGCTGCAGTTTACATGGGAGTGCAGACATCTCTTTGACATACTATTTCAAATCTTTTGAGTGAATGTCCATAAACCAAATTGCTGGATCATGTTGTAATTCTATTTTTAGTTTTTTGAGGAACCTTTTACTGTTTTCCATAATGGTTGCACTAACTTACATTCCCATCAACAGTGCACAAGTGTTTCCCTTTTTCCATATCTTCACCAACACTTGTTTTTTTTCTCTTTGATAATCGCCATTCTAACAGATGTGAGGTGATATCTCACTGTTTTTAATTTGTAACTTTCTAATGATTAGTGTTGAGCATCTTTTTCATGTATCTCTTAATCACTCATATGTCTTCTTTTTAGAAATATTCAGGTGATTTGCCCATTTCTTAATTGGATTATTTATTTTCTTTCTATAGAGTTAAGTTCCATATATATGATTGTGTGTGTGTGTGTGTATATATATATATATAGGTTTTTTTTGAGACAGAGTCTTACTCTGTTGCCCAGGGTGGAGTGGAGTGCAGTGGTGCAATCTCGGCTCACTGCAGCCTCTGCCTCCTCGGTTCAAGAGATTCTCCTATCTCAGCCTCCCAAGTAGCTGGGATTAGAGGCATGCACCACTACACCTGGCTAATTTTTAAAGTTTTAGTAGAGATATGGGTTTCACCATGTTGGCCAGGCTGGTTTCGAACTCCTGACCTTGGGTGATCCACCTGCCTTGGTCTCCCAAAGTGATGGCATTACAGGTATGAGGCACCGCTCCCAGCCCTCTTATATATTTTGGATATTAATCCCTTATTAGATACAGGGCTTACAAATACTTCTCCTAATCCATATGTTGTCTCTTCACTCTGTTTTTTCCTTTGCTGTGCCGAGGCTTTTTAGTTTGACTTAATCCCATTTGTCTATCTTTGCTTTTGTTGCCTCTGCTTTAGGGGTAAAATCTAAACAATTATTGCCCAGATCAATGTCCTGTAGTTTTTCTTCAATCTTTTCTTCTAGTAGTTCACAGTTTCTGGTGTTATATTTAAGTCTCATGTTAAGTTGCTTGAGTATATGGTGTGAGATAAGCATTCAATTTTATTTAGCAGATGGATATCCAGTTTTCTCACCATTTGTTTAAGAGATTGTCCCCTTTCCATTGCATATTCTTGGTACCATTGTCTAAAATCAATTGTAGTGGCATGAGTTCTTTTCTGACCCTCTATTGTATTCTGTTGGTTGATGTATCAATTTTTATGCCAGTACCATGCTGTTTTAATTACTATTAATTTGTAGTACAGCTTGAAATCAGGTAATGTGATGCCTCCAGCTTTGTTCTTTTCTACTAATGATTGCCTTGGCTATTTGGGTATTTTTGTGGTTCTATATGAATTTTTTTGCAATGACTTTTCCTGTATCTATGAGAGATAACATTGGAATTTTGATAGAGATTTCAATGAAACTGTAAATTGCTTTAGATAGTATAGACATTTTAACAATATCAACTCTTCCAATCCATGTATATGGTATCTCTTTTTAATTTGTGTCTTCTTCACTTTTTAATTAATATTTTATATTTTTCAGTGACTTTCACTTTTTTGGTTAAATTTACTCCTAAATACTTTATTTCTTTGATGCGATTGTAAATAGGATTGCTTTTAAAATTTCTTTTTCATATCATTTGTTGTTAGCATGTAGAAACACTATCAATTTTTGTGTGTTGATTTTGTATCCTGCAACTTTACTGAATTTAATTATCAGTTCTAAGAGTTTTTTGATGATGTGTTTAAGATTTTCTGTATGTAAGATCATGCCATCAGCAGAGACAATTGTACTTCTTTTCTTATTTGGATGTCTTTCATTTACTTTTCTTGTCTCATGCTCTGGCTAGTACTTCCCATACTGTGTTGTACTGAAGTAGTGAGAGTGGGCATCCATATCTTTTTCCTGATCTTACAGGAAAATCCCTCAACTTTCTACTATTGAATATGAGGTTAGCTGTGCACTTGTCATATATGGACTTGTGTTGAGGCTAGTTAGAAGCTCCACTGTCAGGAGCAGCAATTTACAGAACATGCTAATAAGTCTCATCTAGGCAGAAACTTGGACTTTTGAGCTTCATCCCTTTCTCTGCCCTGATCCTAGAAAATTAAACCTCTGGAAGTGCTTGTTTGTCAATATAATACTGGTACTTTTTCTGGTGGTCTAGAGAGAGACTCCTGCATACTTAGCCCTCTCTCCTCCCCGAGTTGGTAAGTTAAGTGGATAGCTGTGGGGAACCTTAGAGTTAGGGTGTTAATGTGTGGTCTAAACCCTCTTTTCCCCAGGGAGAAGCTGGATGTTGGGGATTCCTTCTCAATTGTATGGTGTAGTGCCTGGGTGAGGTTGGTGCTGTAGCTTTTTCTTCCCAGTCTATGTGGATTTTTTTTTGTTGCCCCGTATGTAGAAGTCTCTCAACTTGTTTCCGACTTTCTCTCAGAGGCAATTGATCTGTGAATGGATATTTATTTTGTGTATCCTTGGGTGGAAGGAGAGACTGGAGCCTCCTATTCTGCAATGTCACTATTGTGACACTGAGAATTGCAAACCCTTGATTCTGGTTTATAATGTATTTATGTCTCTAATTTACTTATTTCTATTTCTAGCAATTAAGATCGTGTGTATACAAATAAGAAAAAAACCAATTAACATGGCTTAAACAAATAATGTGTTTATTTATTTCACATAAAGTGTGTCATGTTGGACAGCGTAGAACTAGTACTGTAGCCCTGAAGCATCCTAGAACCAGGTGCCTGCCATTTTTGATCCCCACACTTACAACATGAACCTTCATCTTGATTATTATTATTATTTTTTTGAGACAGGATCTCTCTTTGCCATCCAAGCTGAAGAGCAGTGGCATGAACATGCTTCACTGCAGCCTTGACTTCCTGGGCTCATGTGATTCTCTGCATCAGCCTCCCATGTAGCTGGGACCACAGATATGTGCCATTCACGTGGTTTTTTGATTTTTTTTTTTTTTTTTTGAGAAGGAGTTTTGCTCTATCACCCAGGATAGAGTGCAGTGCTGCAACCTTGGCTCACTGCAACCTCCATCTCCTGGGTTCAAGAGATTCTCGTAGCTCAGCCTCCCAAGTAGCTGAGATTACAGGCGCATACCATCATGCCTGGCTAGTTTTTGTGTTTTTAGTAGAGACTATATTTTACCATGTTGCCCAGGCTGGTCTCAAACTCCTGACCTCAGGTGACCTGCCTGTCTTGGCCTCCCAAAGTGCTGGGATTACAGGCATGAACCACCATGCCTGGCCAATTTTTTGATTTTTTTTTTTTTTTTTTTTTTTTTAGAGCCAGGGAGTCTCACTTGTTGCCCAGGCTGGTGTCAAACTCCAGGACTCAAGTGATCCTCCTGCCTCGGCATCCCAAAGTGTTGGGATTACAGGCATGAGCCACCACAGATGGCTTTGTTATGATTCTTAAATACTCGTGTTCCAAGGTGATATGTATACCACCTCTACCTTCATATATGTGTTTTGAGTAAAAAGGAGAGAGAGAAAGTACCATCAGCAGGTACCTGCTTATGTGTCATAGACAAGAAATATGTTTCGTGGCCAACACAGCTTCTACTTATAAGTGAGAACATTCTATACTTGGAAATAGAATTTTTAGGCAAGCAATGGATAAGCAGGAATGGGAAATGAACTATTTTACATTCTCTGCCACACTGTGCAATTGTTGTAGTTTTAATACTGCACTCTGTAGTTTCCAAATTTCCTTATCTTTAGAACAACCTGATATATTTTGGATTTTTTGTACTTTCATATGCTGGCACACTATCAAATAATTAAATGATGAAATAATTTTTAGGAAAAGCACAATCTACAGTCTGAATTTACTATTGAAAGCTTGATAGCCACTGTAACTGATATGTTTGGAGCTGGAACAGAGACAACAAGCACCACCCTAAGATTTGGACTTCTGCTCCTGCTGAAGTACCCAGAGATCACAGGTATGATGATACCATAGGTGAGCAGGGTGATTTTCAGAAAAGATGTTGGGAAGACACTGCTATTGTCCTCCATCTTGTTTCTCTTAGAGAAGCTTCATTATTGAAATTTCTGTGCCATTGGCTCTAAGTTGTCTAAATACGATGAAGGGGTAAGAATGAGATGAATTTGCACAACAGGGAAGAGGGACTGAGAGAGGTGAAGACAGTGTGATCACTAGCAAAAGTAATAAAACCCTGGATTTAAGTGACTAAATACTCTGAATAAAGTGTCTAGATTTCATGGGAGAGGATTTGTAGCAGGCACAGACATGATGAATTGGCCTAGGATTATATGTTGGTTTTCTTAAGAACAGACTACTTTGTTGCAATTTCTTTTTTGAAATGAGTAGAAATTTTATTTCACTAAAATCCATGTCTACAAAATTCCATTTTCCAGCAGAACAGACCACTTTGAGTAATAGATATGCTCTTTTTTTCTTTTTTTGAGACAGAGTCTCGCTCTGTCGCCTAGGCTGAAGTGCAGTGGTGCAATCTTGGCTCACTGCAACCTCCGCCTCCCGGGTTCAAGTGATTCTCCTGCCTCAGCCTCCCGAGTAGCTGGGATTACAGGTGTACCCACCACACTGGCTAATTATTTTGTATTTTTAGTAGAGACAGGGTTCCACCATGTTAGTCAGGCTGGTCTCGAACTCCTGACCTCAAATGATCCTCCCACATCAGCCTCCAAAAGTGCTGGGATTACAGGCGTGTGCCACTGTGCCCAGCCAGGTATGCTCTTACAGATCTTCTCTTATTCTGAAAATGTAGTGTTTTAATGCTGGGACAGTAAAGACAGAGACTCTTTTTATTTTTAATTTTTATTATTGGCAATTCTTTTATGGTTGGTTTGATACCAGTTTTTAATGTTTTGGTAAATTTCTATATTTTTAGGGGTACAAGTGCAATTGCGTTCATGAATCTATTCCCTAATGGTGAAGTATGGGCTTTTAGTGTACCCATCACCTGAATAGTGTACATTGTTCCCAATAGGTAACATTTCATCCCTCACCTCCCTCCCACCTTTCCACCTTTTGGAATCTCCAGTGTCTATTATTCCACTCTGTATGTCTCTGTGTACCCATTGTTTAGCTTCCACTTGTAAGTGAGAACGTGTGGTTTTTGACTTTCTATTTTGAGTCTTTGCACTTAGGATAATGGCCTCCAGTTCCATCCATGTTGCCACAAAAGACATGATTTCATTCTTTTACATGGCTGAGTAGTAGTGCATGGTATGAGTTTGTGTGTGTGTGTGTGACACTACTAGATGCAGATTTTTAAACCCCACACATAACTTTTTAGTTGATTTTATGAATATGCCTTGGTGAATAGTGCTGCAGTAAACATATGAATGCAGATGTCTTTTTGATAAAATGATTTCTTTTATTTTGGATAGATACCCAGTAGTGGGATTGCTGGATCAAAGGATAGTTCTATTTTTGATTCTTCGGGAAATACTATTTATTGAAGTGTATAGTGGATATTCTAGAAATTTGATGAGATAGCCTGAGAAAATCTGCGTAGTCTGGGAAGTATTTTAAGCATGTAGCTGTATAATAAAGGTGTATGCTATTTAAGTAGAGAATGTGCCTGAGGAGTTTTATGATTATCAAAATTTGCACCTAGAAAAATGGTACTTGTCAATATTTTTTCTTAGGATCAATAGTTTTATCTTTTACAAACAACTTTTTTTTTTCTTCAAATTTTGTATTTATCTATGAGCAGATTCTGGCTCTGCATAGCCTATTAGCCACACATTTGTTTTTCTGGGGTCAGAATCACACTGAAATGATGTTAAATTTATTACATATGAGAATTACTCCTGTTAAAGTTAGAGTACAACCATCAAGTCTTTAACAAACTTCTGAGACACAGGGAGCAGATAGAAGGATGGTAACCAATTTGGCAGAGAGATTGAAGTGGCAACCTAAGGGTCATAAGAATTTGTGTTGCTATAGTCCCTGTAAGGCTGAGTATTCAAAAGAACCAAGACCCGAAGAACACAGAGGGAGAATGAGGCAGAAAACAGAAAATTCTCCCTGCCTAGATTCCCTCCACAACTTCATTTGTCAACTAATTGTTTTTTCCCCACAGAAAAGGGAGGTTCACTCTCTAGAGAAACTGAACCTAAGAGGCTCACTCATACACAACAGACAGAGACAGGGAAAGAGTGAGGGGTTAAGTAAGAGTCCACTTGAATTCTGAGGCCTTTAGTGCCTTTCTGCATCTTGTTCCTAAAATTCAGCAGCCAGGTGTAAACTCCTGAGAATAAGTAGCACCAGTGGAAAGACCTCCATTTTTCACCATTTAGATAGAAAATTCTTACCAAATGTCCAGCAAAGTGAATGAAATGGAAAATATTCATCCAAGACACCAGGCCATGAAATTTTAGAACATCAGAGTTGAAGGGAAAGTGATAAAAACATTCAGAGATAAATTAGTTCACCTATAAAGGATCAGGAATCAGAATGACATTAGAATTCTCAAGAGCAGCTGTCATCTTGTGTATTTTTAGATAAAGAATATTTTCAGACCTGCAAGTGGGCAAAAAAATTTTATCCTTTGTGTTTATTTTCTTAGATACTAGAGAATATTTTCCATCTAAATATCTGAAACCAAGTCAGAGGAAGTCAGGGACTGCAGGTCTCAGGAGACTTCATGTAGGAGGATGGAAGTGTCAGGGAGGCTGCTGGACACCCGGCCTAGAAAACAAATGCTTTAGAATGGACCAGGTGGATAATGGAGGTGTGAGGGAAGACATTAAGGGCAAAGAGAAGTTGATTGATTATTTGATTATTTTTAGTATTTAGAGAATTATTAGTGAGAGTTTGAAACATTTCTGAACATTCGCAGTAATTCTAAATTGGCATAAAATTAGAATTGAAATAGATACACTTAAGTCCAAGAATATACAAAAAAGGAGACATAATTACAGCAGCCCCACTTGTGATCAATATTTATGAAATAATAATGATGTGAACATGAGTATTAATATAATACAAATGTGATATAAATACACTGGGGAAACTAGAGTAGGGGGAAGTGTGAGTGTGTGTGTGTGTTTCTGTTTGTGCGTGTGTGTCTATTTGTTATGGGTTGGTGATGGAGAAAGTCCTTATCTTTCTTACCATGAAATTTTAGAAATTTTCTAAAAATAAATTAAAAAAATCAAAAGAGAGTCATTATTTAGAAATATGAATATAAATTTCAGAAGAAACTTCTAGAATGTTTCAGCATGGCCACCTTTGTGGAGTGTGAGGATGAGAGAGAATATCATTTCAAGTTTCAAATAAACATATGCACACAATACACAAATCTGCCCATACATATAGATCTGTTAGTAGAATTAAAGTTTTAAAACGTTATATATTATTCTGATACAACATTAATTTGATTTTTTTCTTTCTTCAAGAACAGTAATTTCTTGAGTTTATAATATACTAAATATTTATATTTTGAAGCATTTTATCATTTATATTTGTACTGATTATCCTGTATGCTAATATGTAGGTGGTTACAGATTTATCTTAATACTTAGCTTGTAGCAGAGTTAGATGTATCTATAATGTAGTAATTTCTTCTCTAAGTCTAGGTGTACTTTCAGTCCTATAATTTAAGTTTATAATGATGTTGGGACCCCTTCATTATGCTTCTTGTAACCTGAATTGCTACAGCAAATGTGCCATTTTTGTCCTTTTCCATCATTTCTTACTTGTGTCTTACCAGCTAAAGTCCAGGAAGAGATTGAATGTGTGGTTGGCAGAAACCGGAGCCCCTGCATGCAGGACAGGAGTCACATGCCCTACACAGATGCTGTGGTACATGAGATCCAGAGATACATTGACCTCATCCCCACCAACCTGCCCCATGCAGTGACCTGTGATGTTAAGTTCAGAAACTACCTCATCCCCAAGGTAAGTTTGTTTCTCCTACACCAGACCTCCATGCTCTTGAAGGTCCCAAATTCATAGTATGGTCCCAATCCTCTAACAACACACGATGAGAGACATGTAAAATTCATACTTGAGGCAGCTTTCTGGACTCTGCTGTTTCCATTCCAGTTTGGTCCTATGAAGGTTTATAACAGTTCTCAGTATCTAGCAGTTTATGTCTTCCAAATTTGTTCTGCTTCTGTAATAATTTTTTGTGGCTATTCTCAGGTGTTTACATTTCCAAATAAATGTTTAAAGTATCAGTTTGTCAATTTCCCAAAACACTGTGCTGGGATTTTTATCATGGTGACATTAAATCTTTAGATCAATTTAGAAAGAATTGATGTCCTGACAAGCTGAATCTTTCAATTCATGGATATGATTATGCTCTTAATTTATTTGGACTTTCTTCTATTTTGTCAGTAATGTTTTGTCTTCAGTTCAGTGGCTTTCACATGTATTATATTTTTTTCTGAAATAAATGATATTTTGATGTAATTGTAAGTTGTGTATATAATATATAATAATAAATATGTAATATATAATATAAAATAAATATATATAATATTAAAAATATTTTCAAAACAGAGTCTTGCTATGTTGCACAGATTGATCTTCTGGCTCAAGAAATCCTCCACCTCATCCTCTTGAGTAGCTGGGATTAGAGATGTGTGCCACTGCACCTGGCTTTTAAATAATATACTCAAAAAAATGCCTTTTCCATTTCTTTGTTTCTGGTACATTGAAATATAATTGATTTTATTATTTTGATGATCTTACATCAAGCAAATTTACTTAGCATTGCTAATGTTTTGTTTGTAAATTTATTTGTAATTTCTATGTATCCTCTGATCTGTTTTAATATTTATTTCTTATTTTTCAATTCTTATAACTCAATTTTCTCTTTATTGCTTTATTTCACGGTTAGGATTTCCAGGACAGTGGTGAATAATTCATTATGGTGGGAATCCTTGTTTCATACATGATGTTCAGGATGAGTGGAGGTTTAACATCTCACCAGTGAGAATAATGTTTTATGTATATTTTTGTAATTAAAAAATCAGATTAGAGAAGGTTGTCTTCTCCTACTTTTGATGATTTTTTTCTGGTCATGAATGTTTATACAATTTGATCAAATGGAGTCTCTGCATCAATTAATATGGCCATATATTTTGTCCTGCATATACATATAATATATATATTAGTTAAAATACACACAAATGCACACACAGAGACATACACAGCTGGATTTTATTTGCTACGTTTTTTCAGGTTGTTTGAACTTATAAGAGACATCAGTTTGCAATTTTTCTTCCTCAAAATTTTCTTGTCAGATTTCTGATATTGAGGAAATGTTGGCTTTATAAAATAAGGAAGATAATGTTCTCTATTATGGTTGTTTTTATAACCTTTTCTCACTCTCTATTCTTTTTGTGCTCACTTAGTTCTGTCTTTGCAGTGACTCATAAGTTTTGGTTAAGTGCCAGTTATGACATATGAAAAAATGCAGAACGTCAGATGAAGTTCATCTTCTTCCAGAAAGGGTTCATCCCTCCTGTGCTAGGCAGACAGAATTGTGCAACACCTTCTACCTTCATTCAGAATTAGATATGAACACAGTTGAAAAAATTTTTTTTTCAATTTTTTTATTATACTTTAAGTTCTGGGATACATGTGCAGAATGTGCAGTTTTGTTACTTAGGTATACATGTGCCATGGTGGTTTGCTGCACCCATCAGCCTGTCACTTACATTAGGTATTTCTCCTAATGTTATCCCTCCCTTAGTCCCCCCCACCCCCTACAGGCCTTGGTGTGTGATGTTCCCATCCTGTGTCCTTATTGTTCAACTCCCACTTATGAGTAAGAAAATGCGGTGTTTGGTTTTCTGATCTTGTGATAGTTTGCTGAGAATGATCGTTTCCAGCTTCATTCATGTCCCTGCAAAAGACATGAAATCATCTTTTTTATGGTTGCATAGTATTCCATGATGTGCATGTGTCACATTTTCTTAATCCAGTCTATCATTGATGGACATTTGGATTGGTTCCAAGTCTTTGCTATTGTGAATAGTGCCACAATAAACATATGAAACACAGTCAGAAATTGACTGTAGCCATCAGCTGACCTCTCTGAGGTTCCCCTATGTCTGCAACCCTGAGTAATTTTTGTCTCAGCAGCTTTTCCAGTGCCTTCTAACACATGGCTTCTGTGTTTACTGAGACTTTTTAGTTGCTATGCTGCAAGTTACTCCATTCCACTTGAAGCAAGTACATATTGCCATTTAAAGAAATAAAATAACAAAAATTTAACTTTGAGAGGAAAAAGGATTGGAGTTTGTTAAGGATGAAGTCACTATTGCCATCTTATAGGGAAGAGGGAATTCTGAATGTCTGTATTGTGCCGTGTGGAATCCACTAGACACAGGTACCTATTGAGCACCGGAAATGTAATGAATGCAACTAAGGAACTGGAATTAACATTTTATTTAGTTTTCATTACTTTAAATTTAAATACAAATAATCATGGATTATTCATGGCTACCATGCTACACAACACATATCTAAGTTTTTAATTTTCTGTAATACAAGGTTGGAAATATCTCATTCTCAATTATGCAGTACTAAAAGCCTGAATAGCTAAAAACAATTTAAGGTGGGTGCAATTTCATTTGGCTAAACCTTTACTTGCATGGATTGAATGTATTTTTATTCCTATTTATCATACTTTGTATAAATATTTATGTTTTGCTAAAGAAAAGGCCAGCCAGGTGTGGAGGCTCACACTTATAATCCCAGCACTTTGGGAAGCCAAAGTGGAAGGATCATTTGCACCCAGGAGCTGGAGGCCAGCCCGGGCAACATAGTGAAACCCTATCTCTACAGAAAATAAAAAAAATTAGCTGGGCGTAGTGGCATGTGCCTGTAGTCCCAGCTACTGGGGAGGCTGAAGTGGGAGGATTGCTGGAGCCCAAGAGGTTGAGGCTGCTGTGAGCTATGGTCATACCACCGCACTCCAGCCTGGGTGACAGAGCAAGGCCCTGTCTCAAAAAAAAAAAAAAAAAAAAAAAGGAAAAAAGAAAAGAAATATCATGTATTCAATTATTTGGTATCTCCCCACTCCCACATTATTGGGAGTATTAGAAAATCTATAGCAACTATTATATATCATAATATCTTTCTAGAATGAATATATTTATGTGTAGGCATATAGTATACATATAATATACGGAAATGTTTATACATCTACATTTTACTCTGTACATTTATCTGTATTTATCTATCATCTATCTACCTTTGTAATCTAATCTGTCACATTTAACACCTAAGTACTTCGGTATATAATTCCCCAAAACAAGGACTTTCTCCTACACAATAATAATAATAACATTCACACTCAATGAATTATTATCAATAGGTTAATATTATCTAATATCTTACAATTACATTTTCCCAGTTATACTAAAATATCTCTTATAGCTTTTTTTTGGTGGACTTCCTGTAGTCCAGTCAAGGAACAAGCTTTTAATTTGGTTATCTTGTTTTGTTAGTCCTCTCTCATCACTAACAGTTTTTTTTAGTTTGTTTCACTTTAATACACTGACAGTTTTTAAAAGTCCTGTCCCCTTGTTATGTAAAATGTTGCTCAGTCTGGTTTTGTTTGAATGCTTTTTTGACAATTAGATTCCAGTTATGTGTTTTTGGCAAGAAAGTTAGGTAGGTGATGTTATATATGTGCTACTGCATCACATGTGTGGTCCACATTTTGTAACGGTGTCTGCTAGTCTCTCCATTGTTGGGGTTCTGTTTTTCATATACAGTTAATAAAAAGATGGCATGGTACTTTAAGATCTTGTGAATATTACTTTCCAAATTAATTTACCCAGTAGTTTTAAAGTTAATGGATGATCCTTGCCTGAATCTATGGTCCTACCTGAATGACTGCAAAAATGATGATTTTTCTACTTTTATCATTCCTTCTGTGTTTTTTAGGTTGGGTTCATCTATAATGAAGAGTTCTCCCACATGTTTTAATGAAAAGAAACGTATAACATTTCTGTGATCAACCCTTCAATTGATTTTAGTGTACTTGTTGATATTATCTCAGAAGTCATTTTTAATAGATCAGACCTCCATTTAAAAAAACCCTATGAACAGATTCCAAATTCTCCTGACTCTTTAAGCGCTAGCAGAGGCTTCTATTTAAAAATCTTCATCTGGAAGTCCTTGTCAGAGCAATCAGGCAAGAGAAGGAAAGAAAACGTATTCAAATAGGAAAAGAAGAAATCAAACTATCTCTCTTCACTGACGATATGATTCTACACCTAGAAAGCCCTGAAGACTCTGCCAAAAGGGCCCCTGGAAGTGATAAATGACTTCAGTAAAGTTTCAGGATACAAAATAAATGTACAAAAATCAATAGCATTTTTACATATCAGTAACGTTCAAGCTGACAGCCAAATCAAGAACGCAATCCCATTTACAATAGCCACAAAACATTAAATCCCTAGGAATACATCTAACCAAGGCAGTGAAAGATCTCTATAAGGAAAACTACAAAACACTACTGAAAGAAATCGTAGATGACACAAACAAATGGAAAATCATTCCATTCTCATGGATTGGAAGAATCAATACCGTTAAAATGGCCATACTGCCCAAAGCAATCTACTGATTCAATGCTATTCCTATCAGACTACCAGTGTCTCTTGTAAAATTCATATGGAAACAAAAAAGAGCCTGAATAGCCAAAACAAACCTAAGCAAAGAGAGCAAAGCTGGAGTCATCACACTACGAGACTTCAAACTATGCTATAAGGCTACAGTAACCAAAAAAGCATGATACTGGTACAAAAACAGACACACAGACCCATAAAACATAATAGAGAACTCAGAAATAAAGCTTCATACCTACAGCCATCTGATCGTCAACAATGCTGACAAAAAATAGACAGTGGGAAGGGACTCCCTATTCAATAAATGATGCTGGGATGGCAGGGTAGCCATATGCAGAATGAAACTGGACCCCATCCTTTCACCATATACAAATATGAACTCAAGATGGATTAAAGTTTTAAATGTAAGACATCAAACTTTAAGAATTGCAAGAGAAATACCTAGGAAACACCATTCTGGACATTGGCCTTGGGAAAGAATTCATGACTAAGTCCTCAAAAGCAATCACAATGAAAAAAAATTGATATGTTAATTAAAATTGATACATTAGTTACAAACTAAAGAGCTTCTGCATAACAAAAATAACTATTAACAAGGTAAACAGACAACCTACAGAATGGGAGGAAATATTTACCAAGTATGCATCTGACAATGGTCTAATGTCCTATAAGGTAATTAAACAATTGAACAAACAAAAAACAATGCTATTAAAAAGTGGGCAAAAGACATGAACAGACACTTCTCAAAAGACATACAAGTGGCCAATAAACATATGAAAAAATGCTTCACATCACTAACCAGAGAAATGCAAATCAAAACCAAAATGGGATACCATCTCACGTCAGTCAGAATAGCTATGATTAAAAGGCAAAAAATACTATTCACAATGGCAAAGGATTGGAATCAACCTAAATGCCCACCAACAGTGGACTGGATAAAGAAAAGGTGGTACAAATACACCAGGAAACAGTATGCAGCCATAAAAATGAATGAAATATTGTCTTTTGTAGCAACATAGATGCAGTTGGAGTGAATTAACGCAGGAACAGAAAACCAACTATTGTACATTCTCACTTACAAGGGGGAGTTAAACATCGGTACTCATGGACATAAAGATGGCAACAGTAGACACTGGGGACTGCTAGATGGGGGCTGGAGGGAAGGAAGGGTTGAAAAACTACCTGTTGCGTGCTGTGCTCTCAACTTGGGTGTTGGAATTATTCGTACCCCAAACCTCAGCATCACACAGTATACCCGTGTAACAATCCTGCAAACAAACAACAACAAAAAAGGTAATCCATTTGTGAGAAGTGTGAAAACTGAAGTGATGAAATACAGCAGCAAGTGGGGATGTACACCAGGGTCCAAGCTTGATGATAAACAGGGGATTCAGAAGGATGCCCCCATGTACTCAAATGCTCAGGACTTCAAATGCAATTAATTGGAGGGGACGACTTTATTAAAGTCACTGCCACTTGCCTTAAATTCATCCTGCTTCTTACTAGGTCTGTCTGCGTGGGAATGTAACTTCTTTGGACCTCAATTTTCTTATCTATTGATCAAAGAAATTGGACTAGGTGATTTCCATCACTTCTTCCCACTCTTTGACTTCTTTATAACTTAGTTTGTCTATTTTGCTGTTTCCAGGGCACGACCATAATAACATCACTGACTTCTGTGCTGCACAATGACAAAGAATTCCCCAACCCAGAGATGTTTGACCCTGGCCACTTTCTGGATAGGAGTGGCAACTTTAAGAAAAGTGACTACTTCATGCCTTTCTCAGCAGGTAATAGATATTCAGTTTCATCTGTCCTTCAGGTGACATGATACCTTTTTGGGATCATTTGACTCTTACATGATGCCTCCTCTGGTGTCTGGCTGAATTGCTTTGCAGATCATTAGCACTGTTCCCTATGCCTATGCGATTTCCCTGCTGATGAACATCCCCGTTATTCAGCCAGATTAGTGGGGCTTTGGGGAGTTGATCCAGTTTTTCAAACTGAAAAAGCTAGAGTGTAGGTTAATTTAATTCTGCCTCTAGATACAACACTGAGCTACCCAAGAGTTCCTCTTACTGGGTGAAACTAAGACATTTCTCATCTGCTATGAGAAAGGTATCTAATTTCATGACTTTGAATATCTGCCCTGTGGTGTCCTTTGCTCCCTAGACTGAGCTCTAGGTATCTGAGCTCAGAAGTATCTGAGAGCAGAGAATGGGCTCCTAAGAGGCTCACTTCTGATTTAGAGAAGTAGACAAGTAAACAGATCATTGTAATCTCATAGGAGGAAGGCTGCCAGAGGGGAAAGCACAGGATGTTGGGGAGCTCAGCAGGGGAAGCTGCCTGCTTCCTGCTCATTCATAGGCCATACCACTTCCAAGAGGAAGGAAACTTAAGCTACCTCATTGGAGTGGGAAGCCGGACAAGAAGAGAAGGCAGGAAACTTTTACAGAGGTAATGGACCACAGTAGCAGGACATTTTTTGTAGATCTAGGTGGTTAGAACCTGCCAACAAATTTCAGGGTCAACAAATCTCACGAAACCCTGAGAATATGGAAGAATAGTCTGCGATTATTCCAGAGTACCTTGATCTCCCTCCACTCATGATCATACATCTTGGATATTCAATCTCTACAGCTGAAGTGTGTGGTGAGTCTGTGGACATAGAATTCCCTTCATTTTTTTCTCTGGCTTTTGATCTCTGCTTTGGATCTGGCACTGTATACACTAATAATGTCAAGAACTGAGACCTTTTAAGGATCTCGCGTTTTAGCAGGATAGAAAAACAAATACACAGATAATAGAATTCCAGGTGATTCATGCTCCAGTGGAAGCATGAATATGATGAGGAAACCTGGAGAGGGTGTTTCTATTGACTAGGGATCACAGAAATCAAAAAGAGGAAATGACATGGGACATAAATTCTGAAGGAAGCGTAAGAGTAGAGCTTTTTAGACAGATAGGACAGCAAGAGATAAGATGAAACTTTGTGGTGTGTTGGAGATTGATGAAGAATGGATATGCCTAGAGCTGAGAGTGGAGGAGATGAAGAATGGAAGATGTGATATAGAATGTCAGCCTGGAAACAGAATGTGAAGAGTCAGGTCAAGCCATTTGGCCCTTATCCCATGGGACAGATGGGTGTCATTTAAAGTTGTAAAGTGAGAGAGTGACATGTTTAGACATGTACTTTTGAAAGTATACTAGGAAAAAATATTTGGCTAAATATTGTGCCAGAAGTACAAAGGGGAACACAGTATATGAGCCTTCTCCTTTCAACCCTTCTTCCTTGTGAGTGCATTTCTAGAAAAAGACTGATGGAAACTAGTAGTGTCAAAAGAGCAGTTATAATGTGGGAATACTTAGTGAAGTACATGGCATAGAGCTGATACTCTATAAATATTTGTTGAGTGAAGGGTACTTAGTAACATAAGATATTAAGTAGATAGGAAATGTATCCATTTTTCTTTCTGTGTATCCAACCTTCCTTCCAGCCATTCTGCCTTTGATCCATCCATCTATTTAATCATTTATCAAATAGTTACTGCATACTTTTTGTGACTGTTCGTGACCTAATGTTCAGGGAACAAATCGTCTATGTCTGTTATTTTCAGGAAAACGGATGTGTGTGGGAGAGGGCCTGGCCCGCATGGAGCTGTTTTTATTCCTGACCACCATTTTGCAGAACTTTAACCTGAAATCTCAGGTTGACCCGAAGGATATTGACATCACCCCCATTGCCAATGCATTTGGTCGTGTGCCACCCTTTTACCAGCTCTGCTTCATTCCTGTCTGAAGAAGAGCAGATGGTCTGGCTGCTGCTGTGCTGTCACCTGCAATTCTCCCTTATCGGGGCCATCACCCTCTTCCTTCCCACCATGAGGGATATCTTCTCTGACTTGTCAACCCACATCTTCCCATTCCCTCAAGATCCAGTGAACAACCCCCATTAAAGAGAGTTTCTTGGGTCACTGCATACATATATCTGCTATTCTCCACACTCTGTAACACTTGTATTGACCACCACATATGCTAATACCTATTTACTGCTGAGTTGTTAATATGTTATCACTATAAAACAAAGAAAAATGATTAATAAATGACAATTCAGAGCCATTTATTCTCTGCATGTTCTAGATAAAAAGGATTATTATTTGCTGGGTCAGTTCTTAGATTTCTTGCTTTTGAGTAAAATGAAAGTGAGAAATGAAAGAAAATAGAATGTGAAGAGGCTATGCTGGACCTCATAATGTTAAGCACAAAAAGGGAGAAAGGTAAGAGGGTAGGAAAGCTGTTTTCGCTGAGTATCACCTAGAATTACTGGAAGTCTGGATTTGGAACAGAAAAACTATGTCCAGAAGCAGCTGTAACCTGTAGGGAAATACTGAAACAATCAGCCATAAGAGGAATGAACATTAAGTGTTTGAATTCATGATCTGATTTTGTGTTACTGTAAACACAAGATCAAGATTTGGATAATCGTTTTCCTTTGTGTTTCCAACTTAGATCATGTCTAAATATATGCTTTCGTATTGCTAATCATGTGTTAATGGCTGTTATTTTTCTCTTCCAAACAAGAGCAAAATCTCCAGAAATCCTCACCAGGTTTTATTTTTTTCTATCTTGCACCGCATACTTTTTTTTATTTTTATTTTTATTTGTATTTTACTGAACATAAATGCAATGGTAATTAGATGCTACGATCCTGAAATTATTAGCCTTATGTCAACTCTAAAACTTAAACAAGTGAACAACTCATAGGCATCAAATTCTAGTCATCTTTTTTTCCTTCCTTCTGTCTTGAAGTGTATGAAATGAGAAGTGACACATTAACTTTTTCTCAGCTCATCTCCAAGAGAAAGCCATTTATACTCATTGTGCATTTGTAAGATTACACATGTGTATAGTTTTATAAACATACATATGTCTGTATAGGTGTATATTTACACATAATATATACATGCATGTATATATGAGATTAATAGTGGCTCTTTAATATACTGGGTTTATATTGCATACATAATATTATATAACTTGCTGTTTTTTTTTTTTAAACTTTTAGGTTAGGAGGTCCACACGCAGGTTTGTTATATTGGTAAACTCATGTCACAGGTTTTTTTTGTACATCTTATTTCATCACTCGGGTACTAAGCCTAGTACTCAATAGTTATTTTTTTCTGCTCTTCTCCCTCCTCCCACCCTCCACCCTCATACTGTCCCTAATGTCTGTTGTTCCTTTCTTTGTGTTCATGAGTTCTCATCATTTAATGCCCACTTATAAGAGAGAGCATGTGGTATTTGGTTTTCTGTTTCTGTTAGTTTGCTAATGGTACTGGCCCCAGATCCATCAATTTTCCTGCAAAAGACATGTTTTGTACTAAACAATATGCCAGGAAAACTTCCAAGGTAGTAGAAACATAGGCAAGTCATTTCATTGGGCAGATTACAGAAGAGAAAATGGGAATGGCTATTAAAAGTATTAAAATAGCTTAAAAATAAAAAGGATACATGAAAGCAACATTACTTGTAGTATTAGCAATAAAACAGACATTTCCTTATTTAACCAATAGATAATATAGAGCAACTTTTTCACCAACACTACTATCCCATGACTATGTTGAGCTTAAAGCAGGGAGTGAGCAATGATTGTATTAGCAATGTTGCCCAAAGTTGCCCTCCAGGTGGACTGAAGGTTCTCTAAGTTAAGTGAAAATCATAGGCATTAATAGTGATAAGAGTCTTACAATACGGAGTCTTTTTCTAGTGTTGTGGGACATGCTGTCAATAGCATGAACCCATGAAGCCATTGACTTCTCATCCTGGTTTGCAATTTGAATGTCTCTGGTTATGGGCATTGGGAGGTTTGGTAAATTTTCTGTGTTCCCCACACATCAGAAATGAGACTCATCCCTTAAAATTAATCTAGTGTCAGATTACAGGGCTTCAGGAACAGTATCAGGTCCCAGCTTCAGTAATTTCATAGAAGAAAATGGGATTAGAGAAATCTAGAAGAATTCAGGATCTAGTCTAGCTTGTAGGTAGATAACAAGAACTAGAAAACAATGTACAAGGCTACAATCCAATAACAGGTCTAACTTTTCTCTACAAACATACTTTTTCTCTCTACATTGATCACAGAGGAATCTCAGATTTATTGTTTATTTCTTTTTTTAACTTTTATTTTAGGTTCAAGTTACATGTGCAGGTTTGTTATGCAGGTTAATTTCATGTCACAGGAGTTTGGTATACAGATTATTATTTCATCACCCAGATAATAAGCATAGTTCCTGATAGGCAGTGTTTCGATTTTCACCCTCCACTCTCAAGTAGGCCCCGATGTCTGTTGTTCCCTTCTTTGTACCCATGTGTTCTCAATGTTTAGCTCCCACTTATAAGTGAGAACATGCACTACTTGGTTTTCTGTTCCTGTGTTAGTTCTCTTAGAATAATGGCCTCCAGCTCCATCCATGTTCCTGCAAAGGACGTGATCTTGTTCTTTTATATGGCTGTGCAGTATTCCTCAGTGTATATGTACACATTTTCTTTATTCAGTATACCATTGATGTGCATTTAAGTTGATTCCATGTTCTTGCTATTGTGAATAGTGCTGCAATGACCATATGTATGCATATGTCTTTATGGCAGAACAATTTATATTCCTTTGGGTAGTATATACCCAGTAATGGGATTGCTGAGTTGAGTGGTAATTGTGTTTTAAGTTCTTTGATAAATCACCAAAGTGCTTTCCAAAGTGGCTGAACTAATTTACATTCCCACCAGGAGTCTATAAGCATTCCTTTTGCTCTGCAGCCTTTGCTAGCATGTGTTATTTTTTGACCTTTTATTATGATAGTCATTCTAACTGGTGTGAGATGATATGTCATTGTGGTTTTGATTGGCACTTCTCTAATGGTTAGTGATGTTGGACATTTTTTAATGTTCGTTGGCTGTATGTATGTATGACTTCTTTTGAAACATGTCTGTTCATGTTCTTTGCCCACTGTTTAATGGGATTGTTTGTCTTTTGCTTTTTAATTTGTTTAAGTTCCTTATGGGTTCTGCATGTTAGACCTTTGTTGGATGCATAGTTTGCAAATATTTTCTCCCATTCTGTCTCTTTACTTTGTTGGTAGTTTTTTTGCTGTGGAGAAGCTCTTTAGTTTAATTAGGTCTCATTTGTCAATTTTTGCTTTTGTTGCAATCACTTTTGGCATCTTTATCATGAAATCTTTGCCAGGCCTTATGTCCAGAATGGTATTTCCTAGATTATCCTCCAAGGTGTTTATAGTTTTAGGTTTTACATATAAGTCTTTAATTAATCTTGACTTTTGTATATGGTGTAAGGAAGGGATCCACTTTCAGTCATCTGCATATGGCTTGCCAATTATTTCAGCACCATTTATTGAAGAGGGAGTCCTTTTCCCATTGCTTGTTTTTGTTGACTTTGTTGAAGATCAGATGGATATAGGTATATAGCATTTTTTATAGGCTCTGTATGTTGTTTCATTGGTCTATGTGTCTGTTTTTGTACCAGTACCATGCTGTTTTGGTTATTGTAGCCTTATAGCATAGTTTGAAGTCAGGTAATGTGATGCCTTCATCTTTGTTCTTTTTGCTTAGCATTGCCTTGGCTATTCAGGTTCTTTTTTGGTTTCATATAAATTTAGCATAGCTTTTTCTAATTCTGAGAATAATGTCATTGATAGTTTGATAGAAATAGCATTGAATCTGTAAATTGTGTTGAGTAGTATGACCATTTTAATAACATCAATTCTTCTAATCCATTAGCATGGAATGTTTTTCCATTTGCTTCTGTCATCTTTGGTTTCTTTCATCAATGTTTTGTAGTTTTCTTTATAGAGCTCTTTCACTTCCCTAGTTAGCTGTATTCCTAGGTATTGTATTCTTTTTGTGGCTATTGTGAATGGGATTGTGTTCTTGATTTGGCTTTCAGCTTGGATGTTGTTGGTATATAGAAATGCTATGAATTTTTGTACATAAATCTTATATCCCAAAACTTTGCTCAAATTGTTTATCAGATCAAGGAGCTTTTGGAAACAGACTTTGGGTTCTCTAGGCATAGAATCATATCATCTGCAGTGATAGATTGACTTCCTGTCTTCCAATTTGGGTGAGTTTTATTTCTTTCTCTTGCCTGATTGCTCTGGCTAGGACTTCCAATACCATGTTTAATAGGAGTGGTAAGAGATGGCAACCTTGCCTTGGTCCTGTTTTTAAGGGAGATGCTTCTAGCTTTTGCTCATTCAGTATATGTGGCTGTGGATGTGTCTTTGATCACTCTTATTCTTTTCTTTATTCCTCCTTTGTCTTTCTCTCTTTCTTTTAAAATTATTATTGTTTACTAGATAAGATGGCCCTTATTATTTTGATGCATGTTTCTTAAATGCCCGCTTTGTTGAGGGTTTTTTAACATGAAGGGATGTAGGATTTTTATCACAGGCCTTTTCTGCGTATATTGAGATAATCACATAGTTTTTGTTTTAAATTCTGTTTATGCAATGAATCACGTTTGCTGATTTGTGTACATTAAACCAATCTTATATATCAGAGATAAAGCCTAATTGACTGTAGTGGATTAACTGTTTAA